ATGGACTCAAAGGCCATTTGATCCTAATTCAGGAATATTCTCCTCAGTTGATTCCATATACAAAGCAAGATGCCGAGTGTTTTGGGAAAAAGAAATGAAAAGAAAATCTTTTCGTAATTTATATTTGATATTACCACTAAAGTAGTGATGTATGTTTCATCGGAAACAATTGTCATTCCAAAGAGAAACTCCGAGGACCATCATTGATCTTTATTTGTAATCATTGTTCTTGACCTTGTATATTTTAAAAAAAAAACATTACAACATTTTAGTTATGACATGTATTAACACTAAAAATAAATTTTAATATATTTATGAAATAATGTAGGTGTATTAAATATATAATATAATTTCATTAAATTAATTATGTATAATTCATATTTTTAATTTCTTTCTTTAATTAAAAGTTACAGGATTACCTAATATGATTAAAACACAGTAGAACCATTACAAATTAGTACTCAATAAATTAATAATCTTCATAAATTAATAAATTTTGCCGGTCTTAGTTCAGTACAAAAAAAGCTTGTTTAACATCATTTATTTAAAATATTTGCATTAGTTATAAATGATGTAAAAAAATTTACATCATTTATTTAAATGACTCTGAAAGAGGTGATGCAAATAATTTACATTATTTTATTAATAATTGATGTAAGAATGTCAAATATTTTCATCAGTTACTGTAAATGATATTAATGCGTATCAATTCACAGAAATGATATTAATATTTATGTCAGTTTTGTAAATGATATTAGTTTTGTATCGATTCAAATAACTGATTTAATATTTTTATCATTTATCAATAAATCAAATCTATAATTTCAAAAAAAATATTTTTAAAATTATATAATTTACAGTCATCGATTAAAATTATTTTTTTATTTTTACATTTGATGTTTTTTTATATCAGTAGATAAACCAAAAAAATATTGTCTATAACCTTTTCCTTTTATTTATCCATTGACAATACAATCTGAAGAATCATGAAAAAATTAAAAAGAAAGAGGAAAAAGAAAGGAAATGAATTCACAATGAAGATTGTAAAGCAAATGGAAGTTCTTTATTTTATCGTCAGTCTCCATTAGTGGTGTGAAGCAAATCGATTTAGTAGTCTAGTTAGCGAGATTCGTCCAAGAATTTTTCTACAACTGCTTATCTCCCATAGACTTTTAATCCTTTTTGCAGAATACTCTTCATTTGCTATTGACGAGAATGATATCTAGTTAAATTGAGTTAAGGAAGTACTATGTGATTTTTCAAAAATAAAAGTAGAAGAAGAACAAAAGAAAATATTACCTTTCCAACAGATTCATGTGTCTAGGAGAACCTAGTTTCCTTTCGTATCATACATAAGAGGATCTATAAACATCATCATCATGTATTCACTGTTGATTTTCTTGTAAATCAAATAGTCTAGAACCATAAATTTTAGGGAGAATTGAAAAAATGGGACACTTTGAACTTGTGTTTGTCAGAATAGGATTTTTCATACTTTTGACCATTTATGGACATGTTTTACCCTTCTTTAATGGAAAAATAGTAAAATGAATTTTAAAAAAGTAAAAAAATATGAAAACTGTTGTAAACTTAAGTATGACAATATATATGTTTAAATAAAAAAAAAAATTTGGTATCATATTTTATTTAATCTTCTAGCCAAAGCTAAAATACGCATTCTGGTATTTTACTTAGTTTATAAATCAGATTCTAAGTGATAAACATAGATATATCAAAGATATATACCGTAATCTAACATTTCTTGTATATTCTGACAAAGATATATACCGTAATATAACCTTTCTTGTATATTCTGACAAAGATAGAATTAGTTACGTTGTAATCTAGAAAGATGTCTTCGTTCTACCTTCAGCTTGAACACGATATATAGCCACAACGCAATGATATAATTCGGCTACATTACGTGCCAAAACATGTTCTGCCTTTTACCTTATATGTCGCCTCTAGGAAGAATATGTTTCATACCGCCTATACTGTGTTCTGTGTTGGTAGTATACATATTCTAGGCAAATCCGGAAAATATGGAAACTTCCATATTCGGTTAAAGAAGTTTCCTAAATCTAAACCAAATCTACCCTAAATCTAGCAAAGAATATTTTCTCCAAATTTCACGTTCTTCTCCTCCTCCCCACGATCTTTTTCTCTTTTTTTTTGTGTTTCTCTCTTCTTCATCCACACAATCATCTCTTCTCTCTATCAATACATCATGGTTCTAATCTATGTTAAATCTGGTGAATGGGTGTCTAGTTGCAGTGAAGAGTGGAGTTTCGTGGTAGACAAAGCAAGGCGTGGTCGAATGATAACATTAGAAACTACTACTCCTTTAGAGAAGGTCAAGAGGATCGTGTGTGAGGATTATGGGGTGGATCATACTGTTGTGAATGCTGAGTTCAGTTATTCGATGGTGAATCAAAGAGGGAATCCTCCAATTATTATCACCAATGATCGACAATCATCTAATTTTGTGCCGTATGCAAAGAAGGATTCATCTACTACTTTGTGTGTCACGTTCTCTGGTTCTGGTGTTAATCAAAAAGAACGAGTCAATATTGATTTGAATAAGGAGCCGTGTGATTCAAGTAATGTTGAGGATGAAGAAGTTCATGAGAAAAATAGAGCAGAGTTTGTGAAGCCGTCAAAGGAGTCTTGTGATAGAAGGAAGGATCATGGTTGCGCTAATGATGGTTTAGGGAGTGAAAACATTGGAGATTCTTGAAATAATGGAGATAGTGAAAAGGATGGTCGATCTTGGAGAGGAGATTTCATGAAGAAAAATCAAATTTTCAGATGTAAAGAGGTGTTGAAGGCAACAATGGAGGTTTTGGCTATGCAGAATCATTTCGATTACACTGTTCTGAAATCCACGAGAAAATGGTGGTATTGCCGATGTAAGGATGCATTATGCAACTGGATTGTGCGTGCAGAAGGTCTGGACGGGTCTACATATTTCATAATCAACCAGTGCGAGGAAATACATACATGTGCTCCTTCAAAGAAAAGCAAATTCGGAAAAACAGCATCGGCAAGAACAACTGGGAGTCTAATACAACATCGATATGGTGATGCCAACGATGGCCCAAAAGCAAATGACATCATTCAATTCATGAGATTGGAGCATAGTTGTGAGATTAATTATTGGCACGCTTGGGAAGCTCGTGAGTTTGCTATAGCAGCTGCTAGAGGTATACCAGATCGCAGTTATGCTAAAATACCATCGTATTTGCACATGCTTAAAGAAGCTAATCCTGGGACGCATACTCACTATGAACTTAATGAGAAGGGGAGATTCATGTATCTATTTATGTCCTTTGGCCAATCAGTTAGAGGATTCTACAATGCAATGCGAAGGGTGATTGTTGTTGATGGAACTTTTCTGAAAAATAAATACAAAGGATTTCTACTTGTTGCTACTGCTGTAGATGGTAACTCTAATTTGTATCTGATTGCATTTGGAGTTGTTGATTCAGAGAATGACGATTCATGGGGTTGGTTATTCAGACAGTTGAAAGTGGTTATTGCTGATTGTCAGGACTTAGCTTTTGTCTCAGATAGAAATGTGTCTGTTGCTAAAGCGATTGGGACTGTCTACCCTCGATCAGCACATGGAATTTGCATTCATCACTTGTTGACCAATGTGGTTGCATTTTTAGAGACAAAATGGTTCACTGCCTTGGTTGAACAGGCTTCACGGGCATATAGGTACACTGAATTTGAGAAACGTATCACCGAAATTTTTGCTATGAGTCCTGACCTTGGAAGATATCTATGGGAAGCTGATCTGCGCAAATGGGCTCGTTCTCTCTTCACTGGTAAAAGGTATGACATTAGGACCACAAACCCTGCAGAGTCGATAAATTCAGTACTGAGAATACCTAGAGAATGTCTGGTTATTCCTTTGCTAGATAGTATTAGAGAACTGTTGACTCGATGGTTCTATGAGCGTCGCTTGGTAAGCTCTAAGCATCTTGATCCTTTAACCACTAAGGTGGAGAAAAAGATTGATAGGAGAATTGTGAAGGCAAAAGGGTTTCAAGTTCACAAGGTTGACGACTTCAAATCACTTGTGAAAGGTGACATATATGATTGTTTTGTTGATTTGGAAAGAAGAACATGCACNCTAAGGTGGAGAAAAAGATTGATAGGAGAATTGTGAAGGCAAAAGGGTTTCAAGTTCACAAGGTTGACGACTTCAAATCACTTGTGAAAGGTGACATATATGATTGTTTTGTTGATTTGGAAAGAAGAACATGCACATGTGGGAAGTATGATATAGGAAAAATTCCTTGCCGACACGCCATTCCTGCAATTTATTCACGAGGTATGGAAGTATAAACACTTGAACACGCCATTCCTGCAATTTATTCATCACATTTTTTTTTGATGCATGCCTGGAAGTGCACAGATTCACTGATGTCTTATACACCACTGCAGCGTGGAGAACCGCCTATGAGGAATGCATTAATCCAATAGGAGTTCCAGAGTCTGAATGGAATGTCCCCGCTGAGGTTAAACTTGCTAAGATTTTGCCACCAGAGACAAGAAAGAGTGCTGGTCGACCAATAAAGAGGAGGTATGAATCAGTAGAAGACAAGATAAAATCTTCTCAGGGATCAACAAAGAATAAAAAACACAAGTGTAGTCGTTGTGGTACCCAAGGACACAAGAGAGGAACATGCGATTTACCCATCTAGTTTGTTTTGTGTGTTATTTTGTTTCTGTTTTGTTTCATGTTGATCTTGAATCAACAATGATCTTTTACTTAACAACCTATTTGACTATTTCGTATTTGCTAAACTCTTGAGACTAATCGATCAATGTTTGTGACAATTTGAGGAACTTAAAAATCCAAAGCTAGAGTGGCCACAAATTTCCATCCAAACATAAGCTAGAGTTGCAACATAATTCCTAAAAAATCCAAAGCTAGAGTTACACATACTTAGACACATTCAATCTAGAGTTTTCCACATACTTAGACACATTCAATCTTCGAGTTCAAAGGACTCTTCTCTCTCCCATGGTGAAGGCACATATCGTGTCATTGCCACAGCGTAAATGGGATCGTGTGCAGCCTCCCATAAATCCACACCAATCTTCTGTCTGCAACCCATGATTATTTCATCATCAACTAAACTTAGATCGATACCAAGCAGAAGGCATTCCAAGTGCTTGAGTGCGTATGCACCGCAATCACAACAAGACTTTTTCAATCTCGTCTTCATAGGAACATCCACGATAGAATAAGATTTGAGGAGTAACTGCTTCTGTCTTACAGGTGGTCCAACAGCCTTCACTATCCTAGGAATCAAAGCAGCAAACTTCTCAACGTGTTGTATATTTCTTCCCCGACCACTATCCAACACTTCCACCTTTTTCTCAATAATGTTGACATGAACACCAACCCAGTGATTACCTGCAGTGGACAATAATTACCATGGACAATATTTACAAACAAAGGAATGTAGCACTCATGAAAACTTAGTCGTGTAGAGGAGAGAATGATTACCATTTACAAACAACGGAAAGTAGAGACGATCAATATCCACACCCCAAACTAGATCAGTCCGCCCATGAGATGGAAGTTCTCCTCTACCATACCCAAGAAGAAACTCAGGCCATAGGCTTTTTTGTCACGAGTGAACTTGTTGTATGCGGCATCGATTTGGAGGCAGAACATAACACTCATGAAAGCAACACGGCTCGGGCCCCAATGCTTCAAAGTTGTGTTAACTCGCCATATAAACATAAATGCATCCATTTCCTGAGTATTCACAATGAAATTAAACTAATGTAGCAACCAAGATGTTTTAGAGAAGATAAATTCAACAAATTAGTACAATAAAACATTACCTCGTTGCCAAGCCATTTTCCTGGAGTTACTATCCTTGTAGCTATAGGCAAATTTAAGATTGACGGACCAAGTGGTAAAGGTTTTGGTGTCTTAACCCATTCCGTGAATCCTATCCACGATTCTTCAGAGCAATAATATAGTGACGACTGCGGAGAACCATCTGTGCGCAATGGTGAATCAGTAAGCTGAAGTCTTTTTCCTTTATTCCATTTCTGCCACTGTGACGGCAGTGGAGCTTCTGAATCTCTGACTGAAGTCCTTGGAGTCCACCACTCGTCTCTCTGCTTGGTCTGAGATGGATCAAAGCCGGGCACATACGAGGTCTGAGAAAGCCCTTCAACGCTTTGTGTATCTATGAACTCTGGGATATCATCTTCTTCACTAAAATTCACATCAAAGGAACTCTTGGATGCTTCCTGTTATGTCAATTCACATAAGTCCATTACATGAACATTTAATAAATAATTCTAATATTTTACACACCAACATTGTACATAAGTTTCAAACAACATGCTTACAAACTAAGGACACTAACACACCAACATTGTACATAAGTTTCAAACAACACCCTTACAAACCAAGGACACTAACACACCAACCACACTTACAAACCAAGCACACTTACAAACCGAGACCTTATAAAACAGACCGATATCATAGATGATAGTAAGCAAACAGACACGCAAACCACCTAATAAACAAGAGAAAATAACATTTAAGAGAGTGGTGAAGACAAGTGTTTCTTTACCCCGTGTGTGGACCTCCTCAATGGTGGTTGGCTCGTCGAATGTTTGGTAGGTGAAGGTTTCTTCGGTGAAGGCTCTTCGGTGAAGACTACTTCGTTGAAGGCTCCTTCGGTGAAGACTTCTTCGGTGAAGAGTCTCCAGGCTCAACTTCAACGCTAGGTTCCTTCCGTGAATCTTCAAGCTCTTTTTTCATTTTCTCAAATGTCTCAGCCATCTATTTTTGAAGCCTCTGTTCCATTCCAGAGAAACCCTGCTCAAACAACTGTGTCACAAAAGCCTTCATGTCTTCATTAAATGGTGTTTGCTTTGGTCCAGTAGAGAGAATCTTATGCTTCCTTTTCTCCATACCACGATCTGGAAGCCTCTTCTTACCCCTGCTTGATGTAGCGCCTAGGTTCTTTGATCCTTTTGGAGTATGATAGTCTTCATCACTCTCAGCGGCTTCATCATGGACAGCTGAGTCATCATTCACAGCAGATTCATCCTCGGGTGTTTCTTCAATACCCCAAACATGGTCACTAAAATCATGTTTTGTTCTTATCAACTCCATCAGATTATCGATTCTCTCATCCACCACATCATCAGCTCTGGTAAACACATGAGCTTGGACTATATCATAATTTCCCCTCCAGTCGATATATGGATAGATGTCAACCTACACAAGAAATTTAAAGAAACTTAGATCTTAAAAAAATGCATACAAAACTAGCTGGACTCAACTTACATAAAGATTAGAGATTACCTTGGGTGTCAGGATTTGCTCCAACCGATTGATCTCATCGTATGACACCTTTGCAGCTCCCATCCAGTTTATCCATCTAGGACCGTTTGTGAAACTTTTGTTAAGTTTTTTTCCACAAAGCTTCTCAATCTTTGGTACAGCTTCCATTGCCCAAATCTGCAAGGCGTAAGAGAAACCATCCAAGACATAACTAGTAGTCTTATCCTTCAGCTTGTCACGATTTTTGGCTATTGAGTTGCAGAGAAGATCATAGGCCGCTACTCCCCAAGGATACTTGCCAACCTTCTCAAGATCCATGACCACCTTGATGTATTTGAGGGGGATNCCAAGACATAACTAGTAGTCTTATCCTTCAGCTTGTCACGATTTTTGGCTATTGAGTTGCAGAGAAGATCATAGGCCGCTACTCCCCAAGGATACTTGCCAACCTTCTCAAGATCCATGACCACCTTGATGTATTTGAGGGGGATATTAGCCTTCTCATCTCTCGCTAAAACCACACAAAGAATGATGGCGAGATAGATTAGTCGTATGCGATCTGCATTCTTCCACTTCTTAACAGCTTCCTTGTCCTTATTCCATAGGTTGAAGAGTGTAAGTGATCCATCTCTTCTCCTCAACACATTGCTCCAGAAACTACCATCATATTTCCAGTCTTCGAACTCCTTAAGAGAGATATGAGTATTGCACTCAAACCCGGTTACTGCATCAAACTCTTGTAATGAAAATCGAAGTGGCCTCCTCGCAAAGATGAACCAAAGCTCGTGCATTTTGTAAGTCACCAGCTCCCTACACAAGAAGCTGTGTACAACTCTCGCCGAGAACCCAAGACCATTGTCATGCAGCTTAAAAATCTGAGAAAAGACTGGATCTTTTTTCACAGCTTCCAACTCCTTTGGCAGCCACTCACTGAACTTTCGGATAATGTAGTCAATCCTGCAGCTGTTGTTGATTTGAGTCACTTGGGGCTCCTCGCCCTCCTTAAAAATCCTCTTTGGTAAATCCAACGACATATCTAAAATCCAAGTTCAAAACTTGTTAGTTCAACATGTTAATGAGAGCAAGAGAAATCGATTTAAAACAAATTCTGTGTAATCCAAGTTCAAATCGAACTTAAAAAATCTGTGTAAAAGGGATAGTGTACTAGATGATCATAATTCAAGTTCAAATCGATTTTAATCCATGTTCAAATCGATTTTAAAAAAAAAAATCTGTGTAAAAGGGAAGAACAAGTAGATTGAGTTCAAATCGATTTTACAAAAATCTGTGTAAAAGGGATAGTGTATTACATGCTCATAACTGAAGCTCAAATCGATTTTAATCCAAGTTCAAATCGATTTAAAAAAAAAACTGTGTAAAAGGGAAGAACAATTTGATTAAGTTTTAGATGAGAATAAAAAGAAGAAGTGAATACCTTCAGTAAGATCGAAGAGGAGGAAGACGAAGACGAAGAGGAGGGCGACGAAGACGAAGAAGACAAAGAGGAGGGTGACGAAGACGAGATTTCGTTGTATCTTCAGTGAGATCGAAGAGGAGGATGACGAAGACAAGATTCGAGACTACAGGAAGATGAAACTCCGAGAAAGATTTAGCTTCTCTGAGTTGAAGCCTAAATCGCCATGGAAGTCCCTTTGTTCTACAGCGGAAAAGAGAAGGAGGTTAATAAATTAGGGTATCGGAAACCCCTTTTGCCTTTTTCTTATTTTTAACTGTTTTTCTTTTTTGTAATTTTTTAAGTTTTGTTAATTTTATTTAACTTTAAAACCAATTACGAAAATTATAATATATAATTTTAATTCAACTTACTTGAGAAATTAAGGGTAGTTTGGTATTAACAAGAATTAAAATCCTATTTTTCAAAAATATGTGTCACAAATCCTATTGTGACAAATCCAAGTTCATAGTGTCCTTTTTTTCCAATTTTCTCTAAATTTTGAACTGATAAGAATTTTAAAAGTTAAGAAGAGAAGTTTAGCCAAAAACAGTTAAGAGGAAGAGAAACGATGAATGAGACTATAAGAGGAAATCATGACAGAATATAATGTTTTTGCTAAGAATAAACAGTTACAGAAGATCATGGATCAGTTAAATTAAAATCACAAAAATTAATTAAAGCAAAAAGTAGTAACTGCATCTCGTAAATATAGGCATGTTTAAAAATATTAAAACAAATGTTTAATTGATGTCAAATTACTGAATTTTGCATCTTTTATTTAAGTGATATTAAGGTTGTATCATTTATCTAAGTGATATTAGTGAAAACTAAAAAATGTATCAATTATATAATTGATGTAAATTCATATTTCTATCATTTATTTATAAGTGATGTAAGTTAATATTTATTCATATCAATTTTCTTGAAGTGATGTTAAATCTGTTAATACAATATCAGTTGTTATAACTGATGTTAAACATAAATAGTTTGTATCAGTTGTTAATAAGTAATTTAATTTTAAATCTTTTATTTTTCTGATACTAGTTATGTGATGTAATATAATCATTTTTTTGTAGTGGTTTGGAACACTTTAAATTTGACACAAATTGATAATATAATAAGAAAATAAACTATATATTCATATTATAATTATAATTTAATAATATATATATATAATTAACTACCTATCATTATATTTTTTTTTAATATTCATATTAGAAGTACTTTTATATTTTAACACTTAATATATTGTTGACTAGATTTAATTATATTATATCTAAAATCACATTTAAATTATAAATTATATGCAATATATATTATATACACCAAATAATACAATATAATTAATATAAAAGTAAAATTTCAATATAATATTTAATATCTATACATTAAAATCAAATATTTTTCTTGACTTAGAATAAGAAAAATATTAAAATAAGAAATCTAAATAAGGAAACTGTTGTAAATTAATTATTCTATAGATTAATAAATTTCAAAGTTCCAACATTATTAATTTTTAAAAGCTATATTGTAAATATATATATATATATATGATAATTAATATTTTTAATAATAAATATCCATAACAATTGTGTATACTTCGTCATTTATATTTAATTTTATATTATTAACATAAAATAAATGGAAAAACTCTCAACAAAACATTTTTAATTTTTTTATCAAAAAACAGACTTCAAAAATTAAAACGACCAAAATGGCATTTTTTATTTTGAAAATTTTAAGTTTTTTTTAAAAAAAAACTTGTCCTAACCCAAAAACTTCACTCCTCAACTCTAAACAAAAAGGTTTAGAATTAGTTAACCCAAATGGTATAAGTGTAAATTTATTTATTTTGTATAAAACATTTATGTTTATTTTCGTCATTTTTATTTTAAGATCTATATTTGTGATAAAAACTTTTTAGGTCTCTAAAATAAACAATTATAGTAACCGTATAATAAAATTTCATTTTCATATATTATATAATTTGAATTTTAAAAATAACTATAAATTACTAAAATTCGTAAAATCCTCTCATTAGCAAAATTGAGATTAAAAGCTTAAAATTTTAACTATAAAAAGATATAAATGATCATGCAACCATATGAATAAATTTATATTAAAATATATATAATATAAAAATACACAAATTTTTTAATTTCAAATTTGTATTGAACAAGAAATAAAAACTCAAAATTTTAGTTTCGAAATTTACAGTTAATTCGGACGATGATTATAGATTATTTAAACTATTAAAATTCACATATTGAAAATTTTGTTATCATTAAATTTATAATTGTAAAAATATTTTTTATATACAATGCTTATTCCACGCAAAACACAGATCTTAAACTAGTTTATTAGTAATAGTTATCAGTTCACTAGAAGATAAATAAAATTCAACACTAGACACATGTAATTGTATCTATACAAATATTTTCTGATTTGATTGGAGAGATCACCTAATCTGAAGGATGAACAATTATGTTGAACATGTAAACTATACTGAAAATGTTACATTAGTTATATAATGAATGAAAAACAAAAAAGTTGAAATATCTCATGAAACCTCGTCAATTTGCGCACTTGTGAAATTATGCGGCTAATTCATCCGGTGTTGAAACCATATTGGATCAGATACTTTGATTTAGCACAGAACGTGATGATAACGGTGTTCTTCCCTTTTAAGCACTAATCATATGATGGAATGTGTATTTAACTGAGAATTTTAGATAATTTGTATCAAAATGATATATCTACTGTTATTATAACAAACATAAATTTTAAAAATTTATTTAAAATCCACTGTTATTGAACGTAACATTTTATATAGCACTCTGAAATCTATTATTATTGAAAATACTTTAAGTCATGAAATTTTTAAGATTTTAAGCAATTTTAAAGTATTTGGATGGAATTTCTTAGTTAAAAACTTAAAATTTAAATCTCATAGTTAGCTGATATTTTAGAGTGGTTTAACAAAAAAATACTTTAAACTTTGCGATAAATTATCTAAAAATCAATTAAATCAAATTAT